GCTGCTCTGCGGCTGGACCCTCTGCACCGTGACCTGAAGCCAGGGACACACCACCACGAGGGATGAAGTGCTCTCTCGTAGCCTCCTCCAGGACAAGGAGTGGGAATGCAGCCCTTGGCTGCCCCATTTCCACCCTGCCTAGCTGTCTTCTACCCGAACTGTCCCCCGGCTAGAGTTCAGCCTCTGAGCCCCCTGGCCTAGGAGCTCTACCTCCAACCTTCACCCTCCACCTGTCCCCTGGGGACAACACTGAAAGCTCCAGACAGAGCTCACCCAATGCAGATTACCAGAAAGCAAATATGTTGCCAAATTCTGGTTGGGTGCCATGACCACCAAAATACACCAAAAATACACCAAAGTCATTCAACAAACCTCAGAATTTTTTGTTTACCTATAGAGATATAGACTTTACCTTTCCATTATGTTTTCTAGAATCAGACTCCTAATTAGATTTTGTTTTTGCTCTAATCCAAAAAGTTACCATCTCTCTATACACACGTCATGCTGGGTTCTAGAGCAGGAGAGTTTTTCTCCACGGGGCCCCAGGACCCCTAAGGGCCTGCTCCTCAGAACAGTGCACACACATGAGCTTGTGCACAATTTCAGGAGTCCCAGCAGCTCCCTAGACGCTCTCCTGGCACAAACCATTAAAAAATTATAATTTTTATGGTGAAAAAATTATTTTAAAAATAATTTAATTAATTTAATTTAATTTATTTAATATTTTAATTTAATTAGTTACTTTTTAAATTTAATTATTAAATTAAATAATTTTTTACCATAAAAATTATAAGGAGAGTGCAAGTGTTTGTTGGGGATCAGAATGTAGAATCGGGTGAGGATGCTACATTCAGGGTAACGACCACGGCGGGGGAGGGGTGTGCTGCCTCCAATGAGTGTGCCCTCGTCACTCCTAACCCTGCCCCCCCCCCGGACCCCCAGACGGAGGAGGACAGGAAGAACCTCCTGAGGCTACAGGACCTGGTGGACAAGTTGCAGCTGAAGGTCAAGGCCTACAAGCGCCAGGCTGAGGAGGCGGTGAGTAGCTCTGCTAGGGGCCTGAGGGAGGAACATTGCTGAGCCAGTCCTCCAGGCTGGAAGGCTGAAAGAATCTCTGGCCTCCCCTCACCTCATCCTCCCCCCCTTCAAACCCCCCTGCAGGAGGAACAGGCCAACACCAACCTGTCCAAGTTCCGCAAGGTGCAGCACGAGCTGGATGAGGCAGAGGAGCGGGCGGACATCGCCGAGTCCCAGGTCAACAAGCTGCGGGCCAAGAGCCGCGACATCGGCACCAAGGTGGGTCCCTCCTCTGGGCCCCACTAGTCACCGCATGTCAGCACACCTGCCAACATCAGCGTCCCCCAGACAGAGCCCCCTCACATCATGGATGCTTCCTTTTCATTCATTCCCCACAACTGAACCATGAAGCCACAGAGGGTGAGGTAATGCCATCCTCTGTGATTTCTAAGATTCTTCCAACTCCAACTTTCAATGATTTTGTGAATCCCAGCCCTAAGGTGGTCAGCAACCCTAGTAGGTGCCAATTTGTATATACCCACTGTGTCTATGTCTCAATTCAACTGCTGGCCTCCTCTTGTTTTCCACCTAGTTTAGGCCTACAGCCTTATAACTCAGTCCTAAAATGGACATCCCAGAGGACCCTTTTGTCCTTGCCCAGGCTTATTCCCTCTGGCCTCTCAGAGCACTGCCCTCCAGCACTCACTCCTCCACACCAGCCCTTAGGACACATCCCTCACATGGGGGCCTCCCTCAGGCCCACAGCAGTCCTCCACTCCATCAGGTGCCCCGTCTCCCCTTTGTTTTCTGTGCCCATCCCTGCCCAACCCCCACCTCCCCATAGCTAATTTGGACTTTGTTTCCTTTCACAAGGGCTTGAATGAGGAATAGCTTTGCCACATCTTCTTGATCTGCCCAGTCCCGAGGGTGCTGATGAAGCCCCCAGTTCCAGAGTCTATATAGCAGCCCCTTTGGATGAAGCAGAATAAAGCTATTTTCTTTGAAGCCAATATCTTGCCTTCAGACTCTTCTTCAAAGCCTTCCAGCCATGGGGACATGAACGGGGTCAGGGGGATGGGGGTGGGAATCCAGGAGAGGAGGGGCGGCTTTATACACAGCCCAAGGAGGCCTTCCTGGAAAACTGTGAGTCTCTGAGCATCCTTGGTGCAGGACTGACCCAGACGCCTCCTTCTCAGCAGGTGACACCTCTCCTCCCAGTCCTCTCCCTGGCCCAGAGACCCTCAGGGTTAAGGGAAATTTAGGAAAACCTTTAAGTCTTGCCTAGAGCAGGCAGAGCCCATCAGCTATGGACTTATATCCCAGCTGATTGACACTACCCCCCACCACCCCTAACAGCACCAGGCCTGAGCCTCCAGGAGGAGGTTTAGTGTGTAGGGGTACCCTCTGATGTGTGGGGTAGTGACTTCTAAGTCCCAGTCTACAGCAGGTCTCTGAGAGGGCACACGGACTCATGGCTGTAGCCCATCATCCTTACAGATGCAGCCACCTCTGTCTCTAAGCAACCTAAGGCCAGGGTGCCTTCCTCATCACAGTCAGAACTGTACCCTGGGCCCACCCTCCTCTCCTACTCTCCTCCTCTTATCTTCCTCCCATCCCCCTCTCTCCACAGCACTTCTTTCTTCTCCTTCACTTCTTCTTGCTGTATCTTCCTTTCCCAAGATCCTCTTCACCTTGCTTGCTGGAAGATGGAGGATCTTTGGCCCATTTATGGCCAGCCATATGGAGGGGAGGCAGACAGATAAGGGACTGTGGAGAGGAGAGTCTCAAGTGAGCAGGACTCTGGGGAGGGGAGTGTGGGCGGCCAGAGGGCTCGGGAGTGGAGAAAGGAGCAAGTCTCTCCCCAACTAAACAAGCCTGGCCCCCTGGAGTCACTGCCACACCTGGGCTGCTTAGAGAAGGCCTGGGCCTATGGGTCACAGCATCTTGCAAGGAATGGGGCAGTCAGCCACCCACTGGGAACCCCAGAAGGCCTGGCTAGCCCTGGACTGAATCTCCTGCACCTTACCACACAACCATCCCAGCCAGGCTCCTGGTCACCCCTACTCTGAGCAGCCAGAAAGAAGGCCTACCCCAGGAAGAATCAGAGAATAGGAGGACAGGGAAGCAGGGAGAAAGGGGATAGGGAAGGAAAAAGGAAAGAACTGAGGAGGGTGACAGACATCAGAGAGAGTGGGGAGACCCAAGAAATCGAGGGGGCAGAGGACCAGGGGAACCAACAAAGAAAAAATACAAGTAGTGAGGAGGCCTTCACGGGTTCCCACCCTTCTCCTTGAGGCCCCCTCCATTCACCTGCCCTAGGACCACCTGGGAACAATGAGGAGATTGGTAGAGAAAAGGGAGATGCAGGGATACCCTGAGGACATAAGCTCCCAGAGCAGAGAAGAGAGGCTGGAGACATAGTGGAGACCACATGGCAGACAGCAGCAGAGCCTGGCAGCCAGCAGTAGGAGGAGAGAGAGGAGGAGGGGGCTGATGGGTGGGAGAGCAGAAGGGCAGGGTGGGCCTTGAAGACAGATGCTGCAAGAGCTGAGGGAGGTGACACTGAGCAAGGGAAGAAATCCCGGTCACCTTCAGATGTGAGGTAAATCAGCAAGGCCAGGAATAGTGACATTAGAGAGGGGTGGACAAAGACCTCGGAGTGAGACGTGGAAGCAGAGAAGAGACAGGCAGAGGGTGAGCGGAGGTCGAGCTGAGAGAAAGCAGAGACTCTTGGAAATGCAGGCCTGGCAGACTCCAAGTTGGGCAGAAACCTGGCGCCAGGGAGAATCGGAGGCCAGGTCCAACTTTGAGACAGGGAACCAGGCAGAGGGAAAGGGAGGTCAGACAGAGACAGACGGAGATCCAAGGAGCCAGGCACAGGGAGGTGACCCGGTGTCCCTCACCTGTGGCAGGAGCCTCCATCGCATGCCCTTGTGCTCCAGGACTTCCAGCACAATGAAGAGCTCTGTAGGAGGCAGATGAGGGAGGATGGAGCACAGGGATGGATGTGAGAGCCTGGAGCTAGGTGGGGACCTATCAGGAAGGAAGAGGAGGGCAAATGGACCAGACAGGGGGGCAGAGCCCTGGAATCAACTTAACCTCTTCCCTCTTCCTCCTTCCATTGGAGACAGTGGGCGCTGTCAGCCTACCCTTCACCCATCCTCTACTGAGTGTGGCCTGCTCAGGACACAGGGTTCCCTGAGGACAAAGCCTAGTCTTTGTCAGCTGGACCTGACCCAGCCTGACCTGGTGTTCTTAGTCCCTTATCACATCCCCAGGGCAGTGGGAACCAGGCAGTGACGCATTGGGCTAACCCCCCAGCTTGCACACTGGGGCCTCAAGTGACCTAGAGCTGGGAACAGGTGGCCTGCGTCCCTTGGGGGTAACATTTTGGTGTATGTACCTGCAGGAGATGTGGATGTGGAGTTGACTTAGGTCACTCCCAAGGACACTAGGTATAGGGTATAAGTCCTATGGAGATGGGTGTGTATCCCTGAGTCTAATAATGGGGGCAGTGGAGGGTCCTAGGGAGTTGTGGATCTCGCAGGAGAAACCAAATATTCAATGGACACCTCTCCTACCCGGAGAAACTGACCCTTGTCTGTCCTACCCACCTCCACACTCTAGAGCTATATTGAGAGGTGACAGTGGATGGGGTGGGAGGGGGGAGCTGGGAGAGTGTTCCTGCGTGTGAGGGTGTGGGGGAAAGCCAGAGCAGGGGAGTCTGGCTTTGTTTCCTGAACACAATGTCCACTTAATCATAACAGGCACGGCCTGCTGAAGACCTGACACCTACTGCCTCTGAGAGGGGGCATCACTGGAGGACAGGGTGGGGGCCCTTGAGGGCCTGGGATTTGGGATGCCCACAAAGAAGGGCATTGTGAGTGTGAGCCCCGGGACAGTTGGGAGGCGACACCAGAATTCTCCCTGGGGAGAGGAGGACAGACTACAGAGCCCCCTCCCGGCCCCCCACCACCGCCACCCCCACCCCCTGGAATGTAGAGCCTGGGGCCCAGCTGGTGTAAATCCCTGGGCCTGCCAGGCGCCCCAGCCAGCCTCAGCAGCACCTGCACCCTCTGGCAGCCCAGAAAGGCGGAAGGGAGCAGCCCCCCACCCCCACCCCTCCTCCCTCAGGCGCTGGGATTAATGCCTCCTGTCTCTCCCCACCCCCTCCCTGCCCCACACCAGGACCAGAGGGTGGCAGTGGAGGGTAAAACTTCTGCGTGTGAATGTGGGTGTGCAAATGTGTGTGTTGGTGTGCACAACAGCAAGTAGGAAAACCTGCGATCATAAGCATGTAAAATGTGAAAAATCTGCATGTGTGTGGCTTAGAATGCACATGGGTGTGTGGTGGTCAAGTGAATGTGTGAGGGTACTGGACTGTAGATCTGAGTGCAAATCTGCTATGGTGGCGTGGGAAAATTCCTTCTTCTTTGAGAGGATAGCTGGTGGCCACCATATCAGAAGCATCAGGGGAGGGGCTGGGCAGCTTCAGATGTGTCCCCAAAGCAGTTCAGCCTCAAGTCTCCAGGAGGACACCTGCCTGGAGACTTGAGGAACAGAAGGAAACCAGGTACTGCATTTGTGCAGAGAAAGAGCAGCACAGACGTTTGTTTCCTGATAAAAGGAAACTGAGTCGTGGAGCTGGGCAGCAGATTCCTTTTCTTGGGCATCATGGCTCCAGCTCCCAGCCCCTGGCACTGTGGGACTGTAGGTCAGAGAGGGTGGGGAGATGCTCCTAGCCCGGGGCTGTGTGAGGACAGGCCAGGGTGGAAATGGGTAGGAGGGAGGGGAGCCCATGTCTGGGGGGCAGGGGACAAGCATCTGGCCTGCAGGAGAAGGTGACTCTTGCCCAGTGTGCTCAACTCACTCTTCAGGTTAAAAATAACCAAGGTAAGGGCCTGGCGGGCAGGGGCGGTTGTGTGAGAAAGTCCTGTCTTCCTGCTATCTGCCCATCAGTTCTTTGGAGGGAAGGAATGTGCCCAAGGACTAAAAAAAGGCCCTGGAGCCAGAGGGGCTAGGGCGACAGACCTTTCATGGGCAAATCTAGAGGCCCTGCTGTCCTCCTGTCACCTCCAGAGCCAAGGGATCAAGAGAGGAGGAGCTGGAAGGCGAGAGAGGTGGGAGGGAGGGTCCCTCCGGAAGGACTCCAAATTTAGGCAAGGGGTGGGGGCAGCGGGATATAAAGGAGATGGCTCCCGAGGACAGACAGACCTACTCCTCTGAACCAGGTAAGAGGCTCTTTGGGGGCCTTCGTGGTCAACCCTCAGATATCCCCCCCGCCTTGAGGGACTCTGCCTCCTCAGGGAGTGGGGTGCAGGTTGGTCAGAGGCCCAAGGGTTCTGCTAGAACTGCCTCACTCCAACCCCTGGGAGTTCCCACGGACTGAGGGGAGGTTCCAAGGGAAAAGCCCAAAACCTCTTTTCCCCTCTGACCTGCATTTCTTTCCCTGCTTCTGTTATCTACTTTCCATATTCTCCATGTCTTCATCCTGATCCCTCCTTGGATGGCTTTTATTTTGTCCTTCCTCTTTGTCAATACTTGTCACTATGGTCCTTCTTTGTCTGTCCCCTTTGTCGTTTCTTCCTGTCTGTGTGTTCTCATCTCCTTATCTCTCTTTGTTTCCAAGTCTGATTCATCCTCCACCCCTGGCACTTTCACTAACACTGTGTCCTTTCTTTTCTGCCTCGCTGCCTCTTCTATCTCCCTAACTCCCCACTTCGGTCTGTCCTGCTCTTTGGCTCTTTGGGTCGAGCCTCCTGGCTCACTTCCTCCTGTTGACCTGCCTCCATTATTTTTCACTCTCTTTGTCTGGTCTTCCCTCTGCCTGGCTGTGCCTCTGTGGCTCCACACATGGTTCAGAGTCTTCAGGATTCTCTGTGAAGAGATAACTAGGTGAGAGCCTCCCAATTATCTCTTGGGAGCCATGTTGCTGGACCAGGGCCCCCGTCCTTTCTCCAAGCAGCTCAGCACATCCCCTTAGCAAACTCCTTAGAGATTCTCCTCCAGCATCATGTCACAGGGCAAGGGACCCAGGCGAGGATCCTCTCAGCGGTGGGGGAGAGCAATAGGACCCAGGTGATAAGGAAGTGTGGCAGGGAGTGAGGGTGTGGAGGGCAGTGCCACTCACTGAGGCTTGGGTCTTCTGGTCTCAGGCACAAAGGAGCGCCAAAATGACTGATGCCCAGATGGCTGATTTTGGGGCAGCAGCCCAGTACCTCCGCAAATCAGAGAAGGAGCGTCTGGAGGCCCAGACCCGGCCCTTCGATATCCGCACTGAGTGCTTTGTGCCCGACGACAAGGAGGAGTTTGTGAAGGCCAAGATCCTGTCCCGGGAAGGGGGCAAGGTCACTGCTGAGACAGAAAATGGCAAGGTGTGTGGAGCAGAGCACCAGGGAAAGGGAGAGAAGGTTTGGTGGGGGGGGTGTATAAAGAGCGGGGCCACTTGCAATGGGAGCTGAGCGGCTCTGTAGGAGACCCAAAGCCAGCAAGGGTGTAGGACACGCCCCCCCCCCCCCAGAGGAGCCCAACATTTGAGTGAGAACTCTGACCTTTCTCAGATGGACCTGAGCAGATGTAACAGGGCACCATCCCAGGGATGCACATCCTTTGCCAGAGAGGATGCTGGGGCGGGGATGGGGGGACCTCCACTGGTTTTGGCCTCAGAGGGGTCCTGTAGATAAAGAAGACACAGACACAGCATCAAGTAAAGCTCCCTCTTGAATGTGTATCCCTCCCCTCTGTGCCTCAGTTTCCTCCATGGACCAACTCCCCCAAACCACAACCTCACCCAAACCAAGAGCAAAGTTATAGGCCCAGAGGAACACAAAAAGTGGGAACTCTTTTTTTTTTAATGTGTGTACGGTGTGCTCTTGGTTTTGGGAGTAGATTCCCGTGGTTCATCAAAAAAGCAGGAACTCTTGAGCTGAACGCTCAGTCCCAGAGCTGGGGACTAGCACTCAGATGTCCACAGTCCCTGCTTCCTCAGGCCAGCCATGAGAATCGCCACTGGTCACTAGCAGCAGCTCAGAACCATTTGCCTTGAGACATGGTGACTGAATGTTGTGTCCCAACAAGGTGTGCTATGACAGCCCACAGCCTGCTGGGAGCTTTGACTCTGATCCCAGCCTTGCCACTGGCTATCCACCCTGCCAGTAAACCATTTAATTATTCTATTCACAGCTTCCTCCACTGTAAAAAAAAAAAAAAAAAGAAAGAAAGAAAACAATGCTAGAATGCCTACCTGTGGGATCTAATGACATTAGGGCCTGCAAACTGGTGCCAATCAAACCACACTGATAGTGACCAATGCAGAGCAAGGAGGTGTAGGAAAGGTGGGTGAGATGTTTTCCAGCAGGGCAAGGTTGACCCTGAGCAACTGACACCCTCAAGCACTGCCCCCAGGAGTCAGGTAAGGTGTGTGCACAGACAGGAGAGCTGCCAGCCCCGCCAAGTTTGCCCCTAGACGGTTGAAGCATGGATGGAAAAGTGCTGCTCAAGGGCACAAGCTCTGGGGTCCTGGCAAGACACAGGGACTCTAGGACAGTACCTAGGATGGGAGGGAGAGTGAGCAGTAAGTTATGTGGGGAAAGAGTTGTGGGGGAGCTATGGGCACTGGTCAGAGAAGAGCTGGGAGATCGAGGCCAGGTTGTGCCGTGTCCTGGGAGGAGGTAAGTGGGTGAGGCTGTCGAGTACACAATAGCAAGGGTTCTGGTAGGAGTGTGGTCATTCCTGCCCATGCACCTTCCCCAGACGGTGACCGTGAAGGAGGACCAGGTATTGCAGCAGAACCCACCCAAGTTTGACAAGATCGAGGACATGGCCATGCTGACCTTCCTGCACGAGCCCGCTGTACTCTTCAATCTCAAGGAGCGCTATGCAGCCTGGATGATCTACGTGAGTATACATGACAGGATGCCAGCCTTGGATAGAGGCCAAAGGAGGCCAGGGCAACTTTCTCAAGGATAGGGGTCAGAACTCGCCCATGGGGCCAAGCTCCCCTTTGCCCCCTTCCTACCCCTGGTAGCTGCAGGAAGAGAGGAGCCAGCTGGGATAAGCAAGAGACTCCCCTGCCTGTCACCATCTGCCCCAGGCTTACCACTTTAGCCCCTCATGTCTGCCCTCTCTCCTATTCCAGACCTACTCTGGCCTCTTCTGTGTCACCGTCAATCCCTACAAGTGGCTGCCTGTGTACAATGCGGAGGTGGTGGCTGCCTACCGGGGCAAGAAGAGGAGTGAGGCACCACCCCACATCTTCTCCATCTCTGACAATGCCTACCAGTACATGCTGACAGGTGAGTCTAGCAGCCCTGACCTGTGCCCCCTCAGCCCAGTACCCCATGGACCTGACTCTGTTGCCTCTCTTCTTTCCTCTTCCAGATAGGGAGAACCAGTCCATCCTCATCACGTGAGCAAATGCCATCTACCCACACAGGGACTTGGGGAGGATCCAGGCTGATTCCTGGGGGTACAGAGGGGAGGAAGGTTTCAAGGCTGTGACTGTCAGGAGTGTGGGGAGCTGGGTTTTCAGAGGGGTGCCGGAGTGACCTACAATGATATGCAAACTCTGCAAGACCCCAGTGGAGGAGGTTAGATGACCGGGATTCTGAGGGAGGAGGGTGCAGTGCTGAACTCTGAATGGAGCACAGAGGGGATCTTGGGTTCTGATGGGTCCCTGTTGCCTCCAGTGGAGAATCCGGTGCAGGGAAGACTGTGAACACAAAACGTGTCATCCAGTACTTTGCCAGCATTGCGGCCATAGGTGACCGTGGCAAGAAGGACAATGCCAATGCCAACAAGGTATGGAGTGGGCCACAGGCTCAGCAGAGGGGGCTTGTGGGCAGGCTGACCCAGGGGACCCCCAGCCTTGCCCTGGGGAACAGTGGGGACAGCACCACTAAGCCCAATGCTCAAGACCTTCCTGGCAGGAGACACACACTCTGATGTCCAAATATGGCCCTTTGGAGCCACAGGCCCACCTCCATTTCCCGGGACCAGAGCAGCCTCCTGCCCTCTCCACTGCTGGAGGTGGACAGAAGATAAACTGTCGAGGTTTTGCTGCTTTTGCAGGGCACCCTGGAAGACCAGATCATCCAGGCCAACCCCGCCCTGGAGGCCTTTGGCAACGCCAAGACGGTTCGGAATGACAACTCCTCCCGCTTCGTGAGTGCCCTTGATGACTGCCAACTGGCCTCATCTGGCCTTGACAAGAAGAGGGGGGCACTGTTTTCCTAACAGTCACTACACCCAATTGATCATCCTGTGTTTGGCTTTTGGTTACCAGCAAGTGTGTGTGTGTGTGTGTGTGTGCGCGCGCGCGCGCACACACACACACACATCCCAAACCCTCCCCACTCAGTCTGCCTCCCTGAGCTCTGAGAACTCAAGAAAAGAGACCCAGAGTCACCATGGCTGTTTCATAGCCAAGTAATGGAGCTGATTTTTGTCACATTCTAGATTTTCCTAATGACTGTTTACAAAGCTCTTCCACATGGGAAGGGGGAAGAGAGCATAGGTGCTGGAGCTGATTTCCAAATTTTCCACCTACCCAGAAAGTCTCCATGCTTAAGTCCCAGCTCCCTTATCTAAACTCCCTACCTCTAAACAGAGGTAGTGGGGCACCTGGGTGGCTCAGTCAGTTGAGTGTACGACTTTGGCTCAGATCATGATCTCCAGGTTCATGATTTTGAGCCCCACATTGGACTCTCTGCTGTGAGCACAGAGCCCACTTGGGATCCTCTGTTCCCCCTCTTTTGCCCCTCCCCCATCTCTCTCAAAAATAAATATTTTTTAAAAAAGAAACAAAGGTAGTAATATTTACCTTCATTCCCATGTTGTTGTTTCTGCTCAGAGATATTTGGTAATAGGGGAATAGGCATCCTTTTCTCTGTTTTCCTGATAGTAAATTGGGACACCAAATAAGTCATTAACATTTCCAGAACTATTCAGGGCTTTTTGGGTTGTGTTGAGGTCCAAGATCTCCATTCTGTCCCTTCTGGTCAGTTCCCTCACTGTTTGTCCCATCCGCCCCCAGGGGAAATTCATCAGGATCCACTTTGGAGCCACTGGAAAGTTGGCTTCTGCAGACATAGAGACCTGTGAGTATGACAGGGAGCCCTGCCCACCTCTCTGTGTCCTCTATCTCTGCCTTCTTTCCCAGCTAGCTGGGCGACCCTATCTTAACATTCCCTCTGCATCTCCTTGCCTCTTCCCCTGCTTTTTCCATTTTGTTATAAGAGCCTTTCTTCCCTAATCTCCATCATTTTTTTGGATTGACTCTCTCTGTTCTTACCTGCCTTCCCCCCATCTCGCACTTCAGATCTCCTGGAGAAGTCTCGGGTGATCTTCCAGCTGAAGGCTGAGAGAAACTACCACATCTTCTACCAGATCCTGTCCAACAAGAAGCCAGAGATGCTGGGTGAGGCCATGTGATGCCTCAATGCCCACACTGCCCTCCCCTACAGGGCGGGTACCCTCCTTCTCCTCACTTGCTCCTGCTCACCTCCCTCCTTTGGTCTGCTCAGTGGCTTTCTCTTCCTCCCCCATCTCAGACCTGCCTGAGTCTCCTCTTGCTTCCTTTCCTATGTCATATTTTTTTTGTCATATTTCTTTGTCATATTTCTTCTCCTCCTCCTGGTCGGTTTCTTCCTTCTCCTCTTTGTGCCTGCCCTACTCCCAGGTATCATTCTCCCACTGTCCTCCCTCCCTGGGTCTCCTGTCTACCTTTTCATGTCTTTTTGATTCTCTGCATGGTCCTTGCTGACTCTCCTCCTCTCTCCCTGCTCCCGGTCCTCTCCTCTATTATCCCTGCCCCACCCCCACGGTGTCCCTCTCCCAACCCCTCTCTGTCTGTCTCTATCCTCTTCCATCCCCTTGTCCCCTGCCCTGCTCCTTGCCTGGACAGATATGCTGCTGGTCACCAACAACCCCTACGACTACGCCTTCGTGTCTCAGGGAGAGGTGTCCGTGGCCTCCATCGATGACTCCGAGGAGCTCGTGGCCACGGATGTGAGTAAGGAGGCAGCGTGAAAGCTCCTGAGGGCTCCTGTACCACCCAATCCAACCACCCTCTTTGCCTCTCTTGCTCTTTCCCAGAGTGCCTTTGATGTGTTGGGCTTCACTCCTGAGGAGAAAGCCGGTGTCTACAAGCTTACAGGTGCCATCATGCACTATGGCAACATGAAGTTCAAGCAGAAGCAGCGGGAGGAGCAGGCCGAGCCAGATGGCACTGAAGGTGGGGCAGGGAAGGCAGGTGCTGTAAAGGCCTGAGGTGCTGGGTGTTCACTTGTCATGAGGAGATAGTCCACTGGGAGCAGGGTCTCCCAAGCTGCATCCAAAAGTGGTATCTTTCAAAAATTCTTCAAGAGCTGACAACCTAATTTATTAAGACTATTAGGACCATAAAATAGAGAAAATTAGAGGAAACCAGAAGTACGAGAAGTACATGGTTAGAGGGCAGCACTTTTTCCCAGAAGGAGGCTCTGCCCTCACCCTCACCCCATCCACCCCTACCAACAGGCTTTCTCCTTGTTAGAGCCTAGCCAGAGGCCACCCACTCTCCCCAGACAGGCCTGCTCCCTAGGGACCTGAGGCTTGTAGGGTAGATGGATGGGGTGAGAGCCAGGGAGGGGCGGGGACACGGGGGAGGTGGGCAGACAGGGAGGTCCCCCACAATCTTGCCAACTCTTCAATCCCAACTATGAGTTGGGGATGCTTCCTCCTGGGCCCAAGACTCACCCAAGCTCAGGAAAGCGGACTCTGAGCTCTGTGCATCCTGATCATTAATGCGGTATGTATGCAAAGGGTCCCCAATCCTTGGGTGAGCCCTGTTCGGACTCTGTGCCATGTCCTGTTTGGGAGGCAAAGGCCAGGGGTCAAAATACAGCTTGACATCGACATGTCACACATTTCACTGGACCTCAGTTTCCTCCTTAGTGAAATGGAACAACAGTCCCTCCTAGCTCACTCCGGGACTATGGTAACATTTCATGGAGAAGGAGATATGAGGTGTATAGGGCTAGACAAATGCCTAAGAACGTTCCTCTTAGCCTATCTTCAAGGACCACTTATCTGTGTCTATCCATATCAAAATGTCAAGCCTGGGTTTCATGACAGCATGTTACAAGCTACCATAAAATTCTTGAAATTAAATCAAATAAATTTCCTCTAAACAGAGATTGTATGTTGGGGGGGGGGGGGGATGTAACACGTTGTTAGAAACCTTGATTTCCCAGCTGGTCAAGTTGGTCAACACATGGATTGGGGCACCTGGGTGGCTCAGTTGGTTAGGCATCTGACTTTGGCTCAGATCATCATCTCACGGTTTGTGAGTTTGAGTCTTGCATGGGGTGAGCTCAGCTCAAGGTACTTCATGTTCCATGCTGACAGTGCAGAGCTTTCGTGGGATTCTCTCTCTCCTCCTTCCCCTCTCTCTGCCCCTCTCAGGATTCTCTCTCTCTCCCTCTCTCTCTGCCTATCGCTCACTCACACCCCCTCTCAAAAATACATACATACATACATACATACATATTAAAAACAAAACAAAACAAAAACAAAAACAAACCCAAAAAACCCCACATGGATTAAGAGTAGAATGGGCCCAATCCTGGGCCAGATCCTGGGAGGGAAGAAAGGAGGCAGGGAGCAGCACATGTCTCTTCTGTCAACCACAGTGTCTGCCCTGGAGACATGAAGGGACAGTGAGGGCAAGGATGAGCTCACAGCTGTGCTGGTGAAGGGCCTTGCCCAGGGACGCCCAGTAGATGCAAAGACAGAGGCAAGAGGAATTGCTGGGTGGTGGGAAGTTCTGGACAGATGGAGAGGCCTGGGCTGGGTGCCCCTGGCAAGACTTGTGCCCTTCCAGGCCTGGATTTGCAATTCTTTAGTGACAGGGGTCAGACTCAATGCTTCAGAAAAGCTCTGGGGCAGGCAAAGGAGGTCTGTGGAAAGTGCTTGCTTAGTTATTTCCTTCCCCACCAGATGCCGACAAGTCTGCCTACCTCATGGGGCTGAACTCAGCTGACCTGCTCAAGGGGCTGTGCCACCCTCGGGTGAAAGTGGGCAATGAGTACGTCACCAAGGGGCAGAGCGTCCAGCAGGTGTACTATTCCATTGGGGCGCTGGCCAAGGCAGTGTATGAGAAGATGTTCAACTGGATGGTGACACGGATCAATGCCACCCTGGAGACCAAGCAGCCACGCCAATACTTCATAGGGGTCCTGGACATCGCCGGCTTCGAGATCTTCGATGTGAGTTGGGGGAGCCTGGGTGTGGGGGGAACAGTAACTCACTCATTCGCACCTGTGACCATCATGGCCAGGAGTGGGAAAGGCGGTGGGGCTCAGCGGTGATAAACACATCATCCTGTCTTCCAGTGGGGGCTCCCTCTCCCTGGCCTGACAGAGGAGGGGTCTGGCCACACTCCTAACTGGGCTGGGGCACAGGCCTGGGCTGACCCCACTGTCCTCTCAGACCCTTGCCTGCCTGACCTGCTCCACCCCTGCCCCCCGCAGTTCAACAGCTTTGAGCAGCTGTGCATCAACTTCACCAACGAGAAGCTGCAGCAGTTCTTCAACCACCACATGTTCGTGCTGGAGCAGGAGGAGTACAAGAAGGAAGGCATCGAGTGGGAGTTCATCGACTTTGGCATGGACCTGCAGGCCTGCATCGACCTCATCGAGAAGGTGCTGCCTCCATCTTGCCACCTGTGTGTGTCACCTTCCCCTGTCATCCCAGACAGAGTGGCAGTACTGTCCCTTCTACAACCAGGATACTGGAGTCCCCAGAATCCCAAGCCTCTCTCAGACCCAGCTTCTACCCACTGTAAAGTCATGGGCATACAGAGGATGAGCCCTTTTCTTCTCTCCCCAGGACCTAAGAACTTGTCCTGCACAGTGGTCACATCCCAGAGTCCTAAGAAAGAGATTTAGTGAGGAGAGGACTCTTGGTCCCTCTGACTTCCACGAGAAGCATCATTCATGGAAAGATCCTAGGCTGAAACTGGAGACATTTGGTTTTCCCTCCTCTTCCTGATAGCAGAGAATAAGCCTGTTTCAGCCCCTCTTGTCTATAGACTCAGAAGAGACAAGGATGTGAGGTGTGAGGCTCCCAGTGCTGGCTTGTTCTCAGTGTGCCTTTGCACTTTGTTGATACAGACCAGAGCTTGGAATAACTACCCTCACCCAGCCAGCCATTGCCCTTCAGAAAATGCGAGCTTACCAGAAGCTTTGGGTGGTTATCCAGGGTGCTGCTCTTCCAGAAGCCTCAGAATTGCCTGAAATTATATGGGAAAGAGAGAGAGAGAGAGAGAGAGAGAGAGAGAGAGAGAGAGAGAGAGA